CGACGTGCTCGTACCGCCACCACCAATGCGGGGAATACGCGCAACGGCGCGGCCAGTGCCCCACGACTCCGCGGAGTGCTTCATGCCGGAGAGGCGGTTCACCGCGTAAGCCTGGCGGGAGTTCTTGGACATGTTCGTGTGCACAAACTGCACAATGTCGTGGCGGATGGGAGCCGTAAACACGGCGGGCAGCGGGCATGAGCCCACAACCTTGTCCTCTGACGAGGAGTACACGCTGACAGATGGACGAGCAGTCATACTTGTTTGTTCTTGTCGCGGCAAGAGGCCTGTAATCAGCAAACCCGTAGAGAAAACACAGCAAAAAGCAAAAACGAAAAAGGAGAGAGAAACAAAAATTGAGGTGTGGTAGCACCATGCCAAGGACTTGCAACGCTCCTCCTCCTCCCCCCAAAGCACGCAAGAAAACAAACAAATAACGGGCCCAAGCAATAACATGAACAAAGTGAAAACACCTACCCGCAGAGATAAACAAAAAACAAACGGAAGCGTTGCATCAGGCAGTGAAAGGTGCGTCTTCGTCCCCGCTGCTAGATGCCAGATCAGCCACAAAAGCATTTAATCGCCCGTCGACGGCCTGGTCTACAGACTTTAAACGGGCGTCCACTAAGGCCAGGAAAAGTTGGAGATCCTTCTTCTTTAGAATGACATCTTTCCCCCCTGGAAACAGCAGCAAGCACTGACCCGCAGCGAAGGTATGTGGTGAGAGGACTACCGCGTCGCCTTGTGGTACATCACTCCACGCTAGATGTTTTTTTACGGCCCCGTGCAAACTAGACCCGGGTGGCGCTGCAACATCCTCCTGCAGAGAAAGTTGCATGCCAGGCGTACTGGGCGATGAAGTACTGGCCAAACTGAAAGAGTCCCCGCTGCTAGAAGTAGCTATACTGTAAAACCCTGCATCAGTATTCCCCCCGGTGCTTTTTGCAGAAATGGTGTGCCTAACGACAAAGACACCGTTGCCAGAGTGAGGTGAAGGAACACCAGTGGTTTTGTAGCGCTCGCCCACATGCGCCAAAAATTGTTCCTCGCTTGGGTCCAATTCCCGTATGCCAGGAATGGCGTAGCGTAAGCCAAGCATCTCAAACTCGCTATCTGTAAGGTTCAGCTCTTGCACTCTGCTGAGACAGCGAGTAAATTCCTTCACTTTCATCAAGTCAATGTCGTACTGCTTCCGAGGCCGTGGGCAAGGCTGTGGAAACATAGAGGAGACATCATCTGCAGAGTGCATCGACAGTACAGGCTTGAAGTGCGGTGAAACGGGCGAGAGGGGGTGGTGATAGGATGGTACTTCTTGCGACGAAAGGGTGGCCTGTGTGGGTTTGCTGTTGGTGCTATTTCCGTAACTCTCAACCTTAATGAAGCCGTTGCCCTGAAGTCGCGGTGACGCGTAGTGCAACCGCTCCGCCAACGGGGACATCTGCTTTGCGCCCCTCAAACAATTTTTTGCGAGCGAGCAGGTCGGAAGAGGCAGGCTGTGTGTCATCTCCCTGCTGGAGTCACAGCCACTGGCACCTGAAATTAACAACGGGGGCATTTCTGGCAGCTCCAGCGCCTCTTCAACAGAACCAGAGAGCAGGATCGAGTCCTGCCACTGCAGTTTGCAGTCCTCAAAGAATTCATCCGTGATACATGAGTGCGGCGTTGTTACGCCCACGTGAGAAGTTGATAGCGAGACCGCCTTGCCTGTACCTGACACCGTGTCACGCGCCTCGTTGCCGCCCAAGATGGAGATGATGGCGATATCAAGCACTATATCTGCTAAAATTTGGCTCATACGGACACGTTCAAACCTCGAGAGCGGGGAACGGCCCTTTCCCCCGTTAAAGGATGCTGCAGGGCATTGTAGGCGGTACTTCAAGACCTCCTCCACGCGCGCAAGCCGGCGCCGCACATCCTCGACAAAAGCGGGGAGTTGCTCTGGACGCAGATGTGTCCCAGTGCTCTCCAAGTGCCGCTGGCAGAGCTTTTCTACCGTCCGCAAGCTAAAGGTGTGGCGTGGCCGCGGCGGCAGAGGAGCAGGGGGTACCATTTGTCCATCCAAAGGTGAGTCTGCCATCCCCGCCGTACTTGATCTTTTACTCAATGCTGCGCACATCACCCCAATTTTTTTTTGTTTTTTTTTATTTTTATTTTTTTATTCAACAAAACAAAAACAGAAAACGCGAAACCAAAAACATGGACAGAAATCCCACAAAGGCACGCAATGGCAACTCCCTCGCATCCCAGCGCTCTCACTCCTGCTTCACCGCTGGCTACTACCCCCAAAGGCGCATGCGTGCGTCTATGCAAACACAAACAAAAATACAACGGCACACCGCAACTACGCTCCTCCTCCCCGTCGCCGCAACAGCAGCACACGCGTCACAACCTCAATCACGTCATCCTTTCGTCGCGCTCCTGCAGCACTTTGGCCCAAGACACCCAAATAAGCCTTCAACTGCATTACTGTGAGTGTTGGCAGAGCGTTTTGCTCAAAGGCGGTTTCCACGAGATGAATAACCGCGTCGCCAGCACCCCCGTCGCCCTCACAACAGTCTGACTTTTTTGCGTGGGATCTTTTTGCGGCGGCTGTCCCACCTCGTTTGGGCTGTGGACAGAGACGATCTGCGTCGTACGATGGATCTAGCAGCCTCGTGGTAAACTCATGGAAGAGCGGTGCGTACTGCGCCATCCCCACACGGTCAGGAAGCGACATATCTGCGACAACACCAGGCCTATTCCCCGGCCTCGATGACTGCGCAACCCCGGATGCCGCCATGAAATGCAGCGCCATCTCCTGAAGAGTTTGGTGCCGCAGCTGTAGCGAGGGGTTTGGTACCGCGCTGATGTCGTACGACACGGAAAGCGAGGAAACAACACGTGCTGCCACATCCACGTCCTCCTGCGAGGGAATCGTTACAGGGCTAAAACACGGCAAAGAGGGCACTGCACGGAGATCCTCGGCGTACGGCAATGGCACAACATACAAGCCAAGTCCTTTCACAGGGAGACTGCACGCTGGAACAGACATGGCTGGAGGGGGTGGCACCAATGCAACTAGTCGCGGTACAGCTCCCTGCCGAGCCACATACTGCGCGACTGCCACTTTGTTCTGTCTCAGAAGTATGCGAGTCAGTTGAACAAACAGACGAAGTGAGGCCTCTCCACCGTCATGGGGATTGGGACGGAGAAAAGACGACTTGGAGATGGCATGTTTATGCGCCAAAACGTCTTCGGAGTGCTTAAAACACAGAATAAAAAAACCAACAGCGGCACCTGCCGTCGCAGTAAGAAGGATGTGTTGTCTTTCCTGCGGAGAGAAGAAAAGACGCCGTCCGCCCACGACGGTGGAGTGCAGCAGGTGATCCGAAGTCACAACGGTTTTCATGCCTTCATCTTCTCTTTCCTCTTCCGTTAGCACCAGGTGCTCATGTCCATCTGCATCCGCTCCTCCCGCCGTCCTATGCGCCGTCTCCTCCCTCTTCAGACAACTGGAATCGGAAATAGAAGGCACCCGCCTCACGACGAGTTGTGTCCGTCGCGGCACAATGGCGTTTGTGCGGCGGTCCAACCACTCCGCACGCTGCGGGGACGCCGACAAGAGTGGGTGGTACACGCTCACCGCCATTGTGGGCACCGATGACCCGTCCACGCTTACGCCAATGGTGAGCGTGTAATTCTGAAACGGCCTCTGCGGGTGCACCCGCCGCCGCACGGCGTGAAGTAAGTCTTCAAACGCTTCCACGCCACCCGTCACGTGTACGGCACTGATGCGGCCTGGCTCCATCCCCCCCTCCACCCCCTGCAACGCACCGTAGTGCAACTGGCCCCAAAAACCCTCGTGGTTGAAAGTCCGTCCTACACCCACGCCGTCTGTGGGACGCTCCATGTCCTCAGCATGGCCTAAGCCGTTGAGCAGCGGGGCCTCAGCCACACACGTTGGCCCGTGCAAGGCGTAAAAAGCTGCGTTCCCACGTCCCATGCTCACTTTATCTGCGTTAGTGCCGGGGTCTTTGCCCATGGCAAACACTTCAACAGCCACCTCAGCTTCATACAACTCCCGCACTCGTGCCAAACATCGATCCATCTCAGATGCGTCACCCTTGTGCGGCGCGTCATCATTGGTAAAGATAAAGATCCGACGATACTTAATCATATTTGAGTGCAGACTGAGGAACATGTTCTGAGCGGCCCACAACACGTCACTCAGATGGACTGCCTTTCCCCGTGCGTGTCCAATGTTTTTCTCAAACTCCTCATACGCCTTTGAGGATACGTCCCCCACGGCCGCCAGCCCCTCCAAATCCTGCACGGACTGGACGCTAAGAAAAGCAAAGGGGTGAAAAATGTAAAGGCCAGGCAAGCCATAAACGTTACGTCGCACATTTGTGTTGTAGAGGGCCAGAGCAACAAGGTCTTTGTCACTCGTTATCACTTTGTCGTGATACAGCCCAAGAACGCCGCCAACCGCATCCCGGAAAGGGGTGCTAATGCAGTTTCCGGTCATTTCAGAGTCCGTTCTTTTTTTGCGTCCTTCTGCCATGTCTGCCAGTAGGGTCTCTTCTCCCCCATTGCTGTCCACGTCCAACCAAAACAGGTCATCAGTTGACGGTGCTTGCATCACGGCAGCCTTCTGTGCGAAGCGTTCCGAGGCAACAGCTGGGATCGGTACTGCGTGAATGGAACTAGCGCCGTGAGTATTGTTTGCAGCTTCCAGGTTAATGTTGTCTGGACCACTGGGGCAACTCTCCCCTTGAAACATAGCAAGCTGGCAGTCAATAAGGCACAGCACGGCGTCGCGCCTCTGCTGGTACACCGTGGCTTGTCGCAGCGTTTCCGGGTCAGTTGCCCCGTCCAGCGTCCCTGTCCCAACAGTTGCTTCCAGCCATTCAGAGTAGTCGGCCATCGGCTCTCGCGTTCAGCATGCGCCAACCCGCTATTCGTAAATGGCCGTTATGGCGTACGCGGGTTTTAATTTGGAAAAGACATTCCAGAACAAAAACAAATAATAATAATAATAATAATAATAAGTTTGCAACTGTAAACAGAGAGAGAAAGAGACTCCTCACCCTGAGAGTGCCAGGATGAAAGCATACACACACGCAATAATAATCATAGTGGCGTAGTGGAGCAAAGCCAACCCCCCCCCCCCCCCCCCACTTCATTCACCCACCCGCAAAAAAAAAAAAAAACAGAGACACAGAATAACATGTCGGTGTGCGGCATAAAGCCTTTGCGGGCGTTCCTGGACGGGACCATACATAAAGTCGCTGTCTTCGTCGCCGTTTCTACAAACTGGAGTCCAGTCTATTCTCTTCTCAGGCAACCCTCTTCAACGTGCGTCTCTTCAAACAAAATAAACATCAAAATAAAAACAAAAATATGCCTCTCTCTAAGCCATTCACGGCAGACGCCTGGCAGCCCGAAACACGGCGTCCCGCTCCTCAAGCCATTGCTGATACTCCTCCTGCGTCAAGTGCGAAAGAGGGCTCTCTAGTGGTTTGGAGTGCAACCCCAGCTTCCTCGGCCCGACAAATGTCATAACATGCGTGCTGACCTTTTTCCGTACCTCGCTATCGTCCTTCCTGGAGTGTCGGTCCTTTGCCTCAAGCTCGCCGCGCCACTCCTCCACCCCATGTGTAGTGTTAGATTCTGTCGTTTGCTGGTGTCGGATCACTTGGTACTCCTCAGCAAGGTAGTCCGTGCCGGCCTCAGCGAGCAGCAGAGGCGGGATTGTGCTAGTGTACAGCGGGTCACGGGCTTTATCCTTGTAGGTGATAGCCCAGTCGTCTGCCATGCGCTTGTACTCAGCCAAAAGTGAAGCATCTGTCACAAAGGCAGGTTTGCCATCCACACGGCAGCGAGATCGTTGCAGCCGTTCACGCTTTTGCTCCTCCGCCACGGCGTTAAGACCCTCAACGTCGCGTTGCATGCGACGCATTGTGACAATGGCTTCCCTCACAGTTGGCATAACAAAATTGCAAGGAGCCCGCGCCGAGACATCGTCGCGTTTGCTTTCGTACGGTCCTATTGAGCTCTTCCGGCGATTCAGCTCCGGCGGTACAACCCCCACTGGGAGTTCCTGGTGCGCCTGCGTTTCCGCCATTGGATGGCTCGCTGAGCTGCCAAGTTGACCATAGCCATCAACAAAGAGTGGTGCGCTCTCGCCACCCATGAAAGAATCCAGCTGACCCTCGCCTTCTTCTCCCACCTTGTCGGGCTCGTTCTCGTTAGGTAGACTGCTCGGCGGTCGAGGTGGAACTCCAGTAAATGAATTTTCAGGTAGCTTAACCTCATGTACATCCGAAGCACGACGTAGGCGATCAAGCAAGTCATTTCCCTGTGTTTTAGAGCTTAGGTTTGGCAGGTTATCAGGGAACTGATGAGAGCCTTCGTTGCCGGGTGCCTCACTCTCCGAATTTTCTAGTGGCAAACTCAACCTCGAGCGAAGGGACCTCATCGCCTTCTCCGGGTTGTTGCGAAGTTGTCGAAGGAACACAGATTCATCTTGCTCTTTTGAAGGAGAAAGCGCCTGCCTGCCAGAGAGCGTCTGCTTGCTCGGAGACGCAGTGCCAGAGAGTGAGCAGAAGAGGAAGCTCCTCTGCCAGTCTGAAGGTAGGCCACTGTCCTCCCGTGCTCCCGCAGCCTGCAGAACATTGAGCCGAGGCTCCGCTTCAGGCATCTTGCTCATTAGAAGCGTGGCAAGGTGCTGGGCCTTTTCATTGTCCTCCGCATCTTTCACTGCGACCGCTTTCACCAACGCTTCCTCTTTGCCATTCTCATCCAACTGAGAGGCGGCAAAAAGGAAGCAGCGCCGGTGGTGGCGAATGTTGGGGGTGAGCGCCATCTCGCGCCGTCGTTGTCGGTGTTGCGGTAACCCAATTGTCACATCGGAGTCGATGTGGGAGACACAGGCCTGGATGTTTTTCGCGTCCGGGAACTGCAGCACATACCCCACGCTGATGGCCTCCTCCACCGTGATTTGAACCCGCGGCCTACTGCCCTGCAAAAAAATGTGGACAGGCGGAGGGCACCCAAACCGAGTCACCTTGACAGGATCGAGCCGATCCTGCTGCATCTCCACAGGCTCGTGTTGCCTTGTCTCCACTTTGTGCAACTTGTCTCGACCTTCGAAAAGTGTCTTTAGCTGCTCCAACTGCGGCATCATACTGACCCGCACGCGCGCATTTGGGCTGGCAGTGATGGCCCGTTGCCTCACAAAGAAAGTTTCCTCCTCCTCCTGTTCTTTCTCCTTCCTGAATACGGAGAGCGGCTTTCGGAGAAGGGGCTGTGTGAAGGGCTGGTGCACAATGGCAAGGTTCACGTAAAAGGGGAAGTTGCTCCCAACAACAAGCCTGTTTGCCTTCCTTGGCCGCGTGGAGACGTTTTTCTTACCGCGACGTGCTGCGTGCACGCCACTCCCCGCCATGGACTGAAAGGAAAAGGAGCCAGCGTCAGGAATAGAGGTGCATCTCGCAGAAGCCGATGACGTTATGGATGCCCGCGATGGCGCCTCTACCGGGGATGCGGAGTACGAAATATCGTCCCATTTTATATAGTCCCGGAATCTAAAGCAGATGGCCTTCAGTTGTACTTCCGCAAGCCACATTGCAAACTCCATGTACGTCCGACCACGCGGTGGCGGACCCACCAAGGGCATCCGCGGACGGCCCACGATATCCACGTCGCACGGGGGGTGTGGCGACGCGAAGACTTTCTGCATTAGCTGCTGTATATGGGAACCAACTTCGCCGGAGTGGCGGCGAAGAATTTCAATGCGGTGCAGAGCATCGCGAAGATGCGGCCGAGAGAGCTTCCATCCCTCCACCATGGACTTTGAAACAAGACCCAGCGGCCAGCGGTGGTCAATGATGGTGGGCTCGCCAATCACAGATCCAGGGCCGTACTCCGCCACACCGTCAACAATCGAGGTCACCCTGCCATGGAGAATAAGAAACATCTCCCCGCAGCGTGAAGAAATGGAAGTAAGCAGGGTTGCAGGCGGGTAGACAACAGGCTCCATGCGCTCCTGTACGAGACGAATAAAACTATCGGGTGCTTCGCGAAAAAGTTCACAACTTTCACGCAGCACCTGTGCCAGCGATGCGGTGTACCGCTGCTCCCCCAACCACCGCATCCGCAGGGCAGCCGCCTTGGAAAGCAAATTTCGCCGCAGGGCGTCGTCACGTCTCACGGTGGACGTAAAACTTTGGCAAGACAGACACCAAACGTCGCAAGTCGTCTGTGCCCTAAGGATAAACTGTCTCGGTTCCCCAAACAGCACAGACAATTCACCAAAAGAGGCACCCATGGGCACTTCTTGCAAGATCTCCCCCCTTGAAAAGGGGGGACCCCCACAGCCGCAAGCTCCCGCACCACGAGAACCTGTTGACGGGGACTCCTCAATCGTCAACGTTCCCCGACGCAGAAAACAAAGCTGGCGAGAAATTGTGTGGGGGCAGAGAATAACCTCCCCTGGGGCGTAGCAACGAGGTGCCAACTG